AAACTCCTGACCTCAGGTGATCCACCCACCTGGGCCACAACTTTTTTTTTGAGATGGGATCTTACTCAGTCACCCAGGCTAGGGTGCAGGGGCATTGTCATAGCTCGCAGCAGCCTCAAACTCCTGGCCTCAAGTAATCCCCCTACTTCAGCCTCCTGAGTAGCTGGGATCACACACTGGAGCCACTGTGACTGGTTCCAAAGCATATTTAACGTTTCAGTGCTTCATCTCTTACATGGAGATGACACTACTATTGTTATGTGAATAAGTTGTTGTTATGACACATACAATTGTTATGTGAATAATTAGCATGTGTTAAAGAGCTTAGAATATATTAACTATGATGGTGAACTTCAGGCATCCATCTGAGTAGATTAAGGGACATCTAGATAGCTGGTAAAAGACTATTTCTAGGTGTATCTGGGAGGGTGTTTCCAGAAATGATGGGCACTTGAAGCAGTGGACCAAGGAAGAAAGATCCACCTCCAACCAGTTTGGGCAGGTACCATCCAATTGGCTGAGAGCCAAGTAGAACAAAAAGGCAGAGGAAAGGTGAAATCACTCTCTTTTCTGAAGCTGGGACACCATTTTCTCCTGCCCCTGGACATCAGAGCTCCATGTTCTCCAGCCTTTGGTCCAGAGAACTTTTACCAGCAGCCCCCTGGTTCTCAGGAACTGAATCATACCACTGGCTTCCCTGGTTCTCCAGTTTGCAGACTGCCTATTGTGGGACCTCTCAGGCTCCATAAACATGTGAGACAATTCCCTTAATAAATCCCTTCTCAGATATCCATATATCCTATTGGTTCTGTCTCTTCGGAGAACCCTAATACATTAGTGATTGTGCTTTTCAGGTTGAAAAATTCACTTCAGTTTTTCAAGTTATACCTTAATGCTTCACTCAGAATAGCTGTTTCTTCTGTGGCTAACCCTTAATGCTTTCATCAGAACGATAGCATCATCCACATTAACAACTCATTCATTCTTCAACAAGGACTACAGTGCACTCCGGCATGGTTCTAAGGAGTACTTTACTGTTATCAACTCCTTTAATTTTTCCTCCCATTTTACAGAGGCATAAACTGAGTCACAGAGAGGTTAAGTCATTTCTGTAAGGTTTAAATTGCTAACAAATAGCAGAAACAGGATTTGAAACCAAGTAGCCTAGCTCTAGTGATTGCACTCTTAATAATTTAATCAGGCTGGGCATGGTGGCTCACACCTGTAATCCTAGCTCTTTGGGAGGCTGAGGCAGGAGAAATCACTTGAATTCAGGAGGTGGAGGCTGCATTGAGCCGAGATCCTGCCACTGCACTCCAGCCTGGGCAACAAGAGTAAAATTTGGTGTCAAAAAAATTAATTATACTGCTTCAAAAGAACATATGAACATAGATATTCTGAACATTATAAACATATAAGTTTATATCCAAAAGATTAAATAATTATTTTAGGGATTCTTGAGCTTCGATGTCAGCAAGCTACCAGGATGTCATGGAGCTTTCAGAATGAGTCCCACTTATCCCAATTTCTAGTTTTTTGATCTTCAACTGAGCAGATAACGTCTCATCTATAAATCTGGGGTAAATAATCCTTGTCCTTCTTTTTACATATGGTTACTTTGGGGATAATATTGAGTAAGATACAAACCAACTAAATATCATTTTAGAAAAAACGTAAATATTAAAAAAATTCAGCCAATGAGATTATAGATGAAACTGTTTTACAAATTGGAAAGCTCTGTGCAAGTAGTCCCATAAAGTTTCATTCAAAAGGCTTATAAAAGGCTCTCACCTAGACTTCTGAAATAGATAGCAGACAACTCCCTGCCTCCAGTCTCTCACAATTGGAATCTGTTTCACAAACCATCAACTGATCTAGAAAAAAGTTATTTCACCCTTTAAAAATATTTTAGAGAAATGGAATACCTTCTGAAATTATTAGAAACTCCTTGGCTATGCATCTGGAGCTACTGAGATATAGACCAAAGCCAACCCCAACAGAATGTACTGAAAATAGCACTGGAGTATGCACAGACCATGGCTTAGCTCTGAAAGTAACTTTTTTTTTCAACACAGGGTTTCACTCTGTTACCCAGGCTGGAGTCCAGTGGTACGATCACAGCTTACTGCCACCTCAACCTCCCAGGCCCAAGTAAGCCTCCCACCTCAGCTTCTTGAGTAGCTGAGATTACAGGTGCTTTGCCACCATAGCCAGCTAATTTCTTCTTCTTCTTTTTTTTTTTTTTAAATAAAAATGGAGTCTCACAATGTTGCCTAGGCTGATCTTGAACTAGGCTTGTCTTTTTTTTTTTTTTTTTGCTGGAGTGCAGTGCTGCAATCTCGGCTCACTGCAATCTTCACCTCCCAGGTTCAAGAGATTCTCCTGCCTCAGCCTCCCCTGAGTAGCTAGGACTGCAGGCACACACCACCACATCCAGCTAATTTTTGTATTTTTAGTAGAGATGAGGTTTCACCATGTTGGCCAGAATGGTCTCCATCTCTCGACCTTGTGATCCACCTGCCTCAGCCTCCTAAAGTGCTGGGATTACAGGCGTGAGCCACTGCGCCCGGCCCACAAGCTTGTCTTGAATTAATACTTCATCACAAGACAACATTTGTGTACATGTTAGGTTGAACCATATGAAATTTTTACCTATAAAAATGGCAATTTCATATCATTCAATCCAACATTTTGCTAATTAATGTGCTGTCCATCTTCCTTCCCCCTCCAGCTGTGGAATGAGTTCAAGAGGGAAGGCATTTTGGTACATTTTGTACATTTCGTTGTATCTTCAGTACCTGGAACATAGTGGTATTCAGCAAATATTTACTGAATGAATGAATGAATGAACGAACTTACTAAGCTCTAAGCATTTGCTTTACACTCTTCTGTGTGATTTATATTTTGTAGCCCCTTTGTTTCCTAAAAGCATCCTAATTACTGTCATTCCTTGGCTGAGGAAACTGAGGCTTGGTGAGGTCAAGTGACTTCTCCAAGACACTCTTAAATAATATTTTATGGTAAGCCATTTATATTTATGTATAAAAGTTGTCCAAATTCAGGTTATCTTTCCTTTCTGAACTTGACCATGCATAGATTCTACTGAAAACAGTGATTAAGAAACTTCAGGACCAAAAGGAGAGAAGGTGGGGAAGGGACGGGACAGAGTGGAAAAAGACAGACACTCGCCAACGGGCTTGGGAAAGCCTGCAATTGTTGGTGAAGTGTGGTATGAAACATTATCTAAAAATGACTCTCAGGCCTCCAGGCCCTCTGCCTCTTCATTGGCTTGACACTTGGAGCCCTGTCACTGGCATTGCTTACTTGGGAACTGGGAGTGGATGATGGATGGCTTCTACCTTCGGTCTGCACATGAGCCTGGCTGGGACTACCAGACTCTTCCAGCAAGCAAGAGAGTATTCTCACTCTTTTTACCATTTCCTCTGTGGATGAAATTGGGGACCCCTACCTACAAAATTCTGTTGCTTTAAAAGACTTTCCCCTAATATGACTGTGGAGATAACAGTGCCAACAAGAACAAGTTAACGTATTTTTAGTAAAGGGGATTTCGGTTTGAAATTGGTTGATGTTCTTCATTTCCGTTTAGGGCAAATATGCACTCTATCTTTTGGAAAGAGAGGTCATAATTTTTTTATTGCTATTCTTCTTCTTTTTTTCTTTTTTGTAAAGTCAATCTCTGGTAAATAAACAGCTACTATTCTTAATGCCAGGGGTCTCAAGTCCCATGTAGGGTTTATCCATGAGTGGCCCATTACAATTTCCACTCTGCTGAAACATCCTTTCCCTTCAGCCAGAATCAGCTCACTTTGTAGCATATGCAATCTGTGGCAGTCATAATATATGTTTTCTCAAACCTGAAAGAGGATAAATGGATGATTTCTCAAATGCCCTGAAGTAAAATGAACAACTCTGGGCTGTCTGGAAATCAGAGTTAGATGACACTCGTAAGTGATTCATTCTTTGAGATTTACAGGACATTTTCAAACACAGAGGGAAAAAAGCCTACATTTCTTCCTAGAATTTGTAGTCTAACCCTGGAAGTGCTAGGCTACAAAACAGAAAAGCAGATGATGAGCCAAGCCATGGGAGTCAGAGGGCTGGGGAGCCATTTCCTGGCCTATCACACACTGGCTGGAAGCCTTTGGCAAGTTAGTAAACTTCTCTAACTCTCAGTTTCCTCATGTATAGGAAAATCCAACAGGAAATGCACGCAGAACATAGCACAGTGTCTCATATACAACAAATGTTCAATAACTATTAAATAACAGAATATCAAACATTAGGGTATATCAGGAGAAAGAGTTCTTTAAAACTGCCTCTCTTCTAATGCCCTAGCCCCTGGATAAGTTGTCTTTTGTTGGAATCAATGGAATAAATTTAATATATTTTCTTGTGCCTGCAGTACTAATTAAGCACAGCTCTGGCCATATAAAAACCAAAGCAGATTTAAAGGAGAGATTGCAGGCTGGGCGTGGTGGCTCACACCTGTAATCCCAGCCTTTGGAAGGCCAAGGTGGGCGGATCATCTGAGGTCAGGAGTTCGAGACCAGCCTGGCCAACATGGCGAAGCCCTGTCTCAACTAAAAATAAAAATATTAGCTGGGCATGGTGGTGTGCACCTGTAATGCCAGCTACTCGGGAGGCTGAGGCAGGAGAATTGCTGGGAGGTGAAGGATGCAGTGAGCCAAGATCATCATGCCACTGCGTTCCAGCCTGGGTGACAGAGTGAGACTTGATCAAAAAAAAAGAAAAGACCGCCTCCTTAATCCCAAACAGCACAATTCAAGTGTTCACAAGGTGAGAGAAGCTTATGTTCTTCAGAGTCAGTGGGTCATTCACTACATGTAACAGCTTCTCGTCTCAGAGACCAAGATTCCCGAGAGAAGCAAACATGATAGGTGGTTCTTTCCAAGGTGGCACAAAATATAAGTGATACATCCTAAAAAGAATACAAGATGAAAAATACTCAAGATTCTCACCAGTTTGAAGCTTTCACTTTCAGGCAATTGTTTAATACCAACTTCGAAGCTGCCATCTTCCTCACTACTAATAGGTTCGGTGCCGCTCTGATCCTAGGGAACATTAAATAGAAAATGGCAAAGATGTCATTCTTCACTCACACTCCCTAGAACTGCATAGATGCTCAACCTCATTTGCCCATTGTAGGGTTGTGGTGGATGTTGTTTCCTCTGAGGAAGCCTTTTCTGTTTTCTTTCTTTCTAGCAGAAGACTGTTTCGTTGTTGTTCTTCCAGGTATCCATCTCTGCTGCTTACAGATAGACCTTAGGGAAAGCTGGTCCCTACTCTCTGTTTCAGGTGTAGGCATGATTGCCTAGGATAGTCTTATTTTTTTCCCAATGATTTTGTCAGGAATGGGCAGATCGGGAATAGATTTTATCAGTTCTGGCCAAAGAAATATAAGGAGAGGTTTGCTGGAGATGTGTGGAAAAGTTCTTCCTTAATAATATGAGAGCCACAAGAAGTCCCCATACTCCCAAATTAACAAGAGAGCATGAGCCCAAGTTTCCATTGACAGCCATCCCGTGACAAGGAGGGAACCAGCCTTAGGACAAGGCTGACCCTGTTGGTGACAAAGCAAAGGAAGAGATAGACAGAACTGGCTCTCTGATGGCAAAACTAGGTCACTGGATTGAGCAAGCACAGCCTTATCCTTAACCACCTTCTGTGAGAGCTTGTACATTTCCTTTTGCTTCAGCCAGTCTGAGTTAGCCATTCTGTTACTCCAGCTCAACTTTCTCACCGAGTCAGCTGACTGTTTTTTGTACAGAACTAAACTGCTTGAGATAAGAGACTGGGTTTGTCTTGTTGATTTCTTTTATTTATTTGTTTAATAAAAAAAACTCTGTCTTTAAAATTTAATAAACAAATCTTTCTTTTTTTTTTTGAGACAGAGTCTCACTCTGCTGCCCAGACTGCAGTGCAGTGGCACAACCTCCGCTCACTGCAACCTCTACTTCCCAGGTTCAAGTGATTCTTGTGCCTCAGACTCTTGAGTAGCTGGGATGGCAGGTGCATGCCACCACACCGGCTAATTTTTGTATTTTTAGTAGATGGGCTTTTGCTATGTTGGCCAGGCTGGTCTTGAACTCCCGACCTCAAGTGATCTGCTTGCCTCAGCCTCCCAAAGTGTGTCTTGTTGATTTCTGAAATCGAGTCCTATCACCATGCCTGGCATGTGGAAACCACCAAACACTGGTGGAATCAATGAATGCACTGAATATTTGTTTTCTTTCGTGACTTTTTCCTGCAGATTCCTGAAAATATGTATTCACATAAATGAGACACCTGGCAATAATACCACTAAAAATCTAAAACACATTAGGCATCTTCTCAACTGAATTGTGATATATTAAATGTTATAGTTAACAAACAAGAAGTTACTTTACTTTCTGAGTGTATATAAGGAAGAATAAAGATGATAAATGGAATATCCATATTTTACTTATCTGAATTTTTAGTTTTAATCACCACCACAACCTGGGATTACTACAAATTTGGTTGAAATAGTTTATAGAGAAAATTGTTTTGATTTTGAGACATTCAATCTCACTCATAATTTGATACAATTAAAGCAAAGAGAGCATTCTTTTTTTTTTTTTTGAGATGGAGTCTTTCTCTACTGCCCAGGATGGAGTGTAGTGGTATAATCTCGGCTCACTGCAACCTCTGCCTCCTGGGTTCAAGTGATTCTCCGGCCTCAGCCTCCCAGGTAGCTGGGATTACAGGCACACACCACCATGACAGGCTATTTTTTCTTTTTTTTTTTTTTTTTTGTATTTTTAGTAGAGATGGGGTTTCACCATATTGGCCAGGCTGGTCTTGAACTCCTGACCTCATGATCTACCCACCTTGGCTTTCCAAAGTACCGGGATTACAGGCATGAGCCACTGTGCCCAGCCAAGAGAACATTCTTTCAACTATCAAATAGACAACAGAATAGGAAAAGAACATTCAATACTGGAAATGGGAATGTCAGGGAAATTACATTGAGAGAATGTAAATTATAATAATCTTTTCAGAAAAAAACATACTCTGTGTGTGTGTGTGTGTGTGTGTGTGTGTGTGTATGTGTGTGTGATTGCTTACTTCTGGGGAGTGAAGCTGGGGAAAGGGTAATTTTTGCATTAATTATTTCTATACTGTTTGATTAGAGGAGAATTATCATATATTATTGCTCGTTTAAACATAAAGTAAAGGAAGACTATGAGAAACACCTAAAAGAAGACAAAAAAAAAATTAAAGAAAGCAGCGTGGACTTTACAGTTGGGCAAATTTGGGTTCAAACCTCAAATCTGCCACTTAGAATTATATGACTTAGGGCAAGTTGCTTTCAAACCTGAGTACCGGTTAAGTGTCCCTTATCTGAAATGCTTGGAAATGTTTTGGACGTCAGATTTCTTCAGATTTTGTTATGTTTGAATTATACTTACCAGCTGAGCATCCCAAAGCTGAAATGAAAATCTGAAATCCAAGTGCTTTCTTTGGAGCATCATGTTGGTGCTCAGAAGTTTCAGATTCTGGAGCATTTCTAACTTCAAATTTGGGATGCTCACTCTGTAACTGTAACTTATTTTTAAAGTGCAGATAAAATACCAGATTAAAAATACTACCCTATCAGGTTGCTTTAAAGATTAATGAGTTAACGTGTAAAATATCTATGTGCATAACACCAGGTACAGTTAACTTTTGTTTCTAGCTTTTACATATTATTTTAAAATATCTTTTCTTTTCTTTCTTTCTCTCTTTCTTTCTTTCTTTCTTTCTTTCTGTCTCTCTCTCTCTCTCTCTCTCTCTCTCTCTCTCTCTCTCTCTTTCTTTTTCGAGACAGAGTCTCGCTCTGTCGCCAGGCTGGAATACCGTGGCACAATCTTGGCTCACTCCACCTCCCGGCTTCAAGCAATTCTCTTGCCTCAGTCTCCCAAGTAGCTGGGATTACAGGTGTCTGCTGCCACGCTCAGCTAATTTTTGTATTTTTAGTAGAGACAGGGTTTTACCATGCTGGGCCAGGCTGGTCTCTTGAACTCCTGACCTCAAGTGATCCACCTGCCTCTGCTTCCCAAAGTGCTGGGATTACGGGCGTGAGCCACCAAGCTTGGCCTTTTCTTTCTTTCTCTTTCCATGTGAACTTGGCAGAACTGTTTCTAGCTTTCTGTTGAAGCAGATTCCTTATTCTTGCACTATCTCATACAGTCTTCATAATAACCTGCTACAGGAATGTACCACCATGATCCCAATTCATAAATGAGGATAATGATACATTTTAAATAACTTGCTAAACAACTCCAGGTAGTAAGAGGTAGATCCAAGATTCAAAGCTGGGAAAGGGCCATGCTAGGCCCTCAATAAATGACGCTCCCATTTCTCTCTCCTTCTTCCTTTTCAGTATTGAGTGTTGATAGCTAATCTTACAGAAGATAAGACTCACAATCTTTCAAAAAATCACTGTTAATAGACCACGGATTTTTAAAAACATGTCTTAGTATTTTTTTAACCAGAAAATTGTATCAGATAGAACATCCTCTTCTCAGTGAATTTTGGATAATCAAGGAGTTATCATATAAAATAAACATACCCAAGTTAATAAATATTGAAAATGCACATTTTTGACAGTGGTAATGTAAGTTTTAGAAACAGAAATTTTAAACAAATGAATTATCCTTTAAAAATCAGTATTTAAGCAGGGTGCGGTGTCTCATGCCTGTAATCCCAGCACTTTGGGAGGCTGAGGCGGGCAGATCATGATATGAGGAGTTCAGATCAGCCTGACCAACACGGTGAAACCCTGTCTCTACTAAAATTACAAAAAATCAGCCAGCCATGGTGGCATGTGCCTGTAATCCCAGCTACTAGGGAGGCTAAGGCAGGAGAATCGCTTGAACCCAGAAGGCAGAGGTTGCAGTGAGCTGATGAGATCAAGCCACTGCACTCTAGCCTGTGCACCAGTGTAAGACTTTGTCTCAAAAAAAAATCAGTATTTAATCTATGGAAAAGTTGTAATATCCAAATTACTTAGTGTGTCTAGTTCTGCAAGCTGTGGGAGCCCCTGAAGAAGGCCTGGTGAGGTTATGGTGGCCAAGTGGTGGTTTGAAATAGTCAGTGTTTATAATTGCAGCACATTAGACTGTAGAACAAACCCACAGGTTCCTTGAGTAACCCTGCAAATGGCCACCACCTGTGGTCCCGGATGAGCAGAGATTTTTCGCATGAAGATGTGCAGCTGAAACTATTCATCTAATTACACACACATCTCCTTAGGGAAAGGAAAGTGTTCCTTAAATAAAATAGAGGAATCTTTACTTTTACATTTTTCAGCAATATGCATATTGAAGATGAGATATTCTTGGTCTTTACAAAATGAATACTAAAGTAGAGGAGAAAACAGCTGTTTAAGGGATGTGTCAACTTGTAAAATTTAAGAAAACATGGGCAAAGCAGTCTAGGTTCCAAATGGTCTATGCATCCTTTAAGATGTGAACAGAAACAAAAAATACCCCCAGCTATGGTGGCTCATGCCTGTAATCCCAGCTTACTTTGGGAGGCCGAGGCGGGCAGATCATGAGATCAGGAGTTCGAGACCCGCCTGGCCAACAGGGGGAAATCTCATCTCTACTGAAAATACAAAAATTAGCCGGGCGTGGTGATGCATGCTTGCAGTTCCAGCTACTTGGGAGGCTGAGGCAGCAGAATTGCGTGAACATGGGAAGCAGAGGAGATCATGCCATTGCACCCCAGCCTGGGCAACAGGTAAGACTCTGTCTCCGACAAAAAGAAAAAGAAAAACAGAAACAAAAAACAACCCTCTACGCCTACACCACATCCCATACTTAGAAACAGAGGCTCAAATGAAGCAGAATGTATCCTTCAAAGCCAGGTCTCAAATGCCACTTGTTCCATTTACCTTTTCCTTCTCCTTAGCTGGGGGACATTGCTCCTTCCTCTAAATTCTAACATTCTGCCTGAACCTCCTCTGTCACTTTACATCATCACTTTTGTGTCCTAATTATGTATGTACAGAACTGATCTCCTGGTGGGACTGAAAGATCCTTGAATC